GTTTACAGAGTGAAAGAGTGAGGGAGAGCTGCAGCTTCAGTGCTCCTCAATTCAGGGGCAGGAACTCCCACTCCATTTCAGTTTATCTCTTTTGTTTTCCAATTTAACTCATAGCTGCTGACATCCAGGCTAATATTTGCTTTGTCCTCCATGCTCTCCTTTGGCCTCAATCCAGGGAATCTCAAGCTGTGCCCTGCTTTACTGCATCCCTTCCCCAGCTCCAGCAACCTCTGCCCCTGGGTGAGGAGGAGGGATGATGACGATGCTGGCAAGATGCAGTGCTCAGGACCTGTCAACCCCAGGAGCACCAGTGCACCTTGGGAGTTGCTGCAACAGAGCTTAGCAAATGCCAAACAAACTCACTGTGAGTGAATGCAGCATCAAGCTTGGTTTTATTAAAGCTTCGTCTGTTGGGTCACAAGGAACCTTAGAGAGGGCTGTGGGTAGTGTTATCTGGCACAGCACAGAGGGAATTCTGGTTCAGCTTTTGCTGAACCAGCCCTAGAACCAGTTGTCCCTCTTTCTCCAACAGTGTCTGATGTTGATCTCACCCATCACTGGCTTCCAGGGAGATGTCACTGACTGGTGCTTTGAAAAGTGAGATGGATCAGGCCCTTCTTTCTGAATAAATATCAGATATGATTCAGCACTCAATTGTTTCTGTTTTATCTCTGTGGAACATCATTGATTATAGAAGGATTTGCAAGTTTAAAACTAGAGTAATTCAGTGATTAATCCCAACCAAAGCCTTTTGTAAATAGAGAGTAATACTCCAGCACTATTCAATATTCCACACATCAATGGAGTGCTCTGTAATATGATTCAATGGCATTTAGACTTGCCTTCCCTTTATTCAGGGCAGTGCTGGGCTACATTTAGTTTAGCTAAGCCAGGCTTTTCTCCTCTATCTCCTCTCCCTGGGAAATGTCAGGCACGTTCTCAGTGTAACAAAGGCACATCTCTCCCATCTAGTGACTGTCCTGCGCAAGGCAGCAGCTCAGGGAAGGGCTGACCACACATGCTGAGATGCACATCGGGACCACAGCATGATGGGGAGGAAGGAAGAGGAACTCTCAGCCTCATGACAGGGGCTGAACATACCTAAAGTCCATTTCAACCCATGGGCTGGAGTCTCCTATAGCTCCTTCCAACAGTGATTTAAAGCTGGTCCAGAGAGTGGAAAAGCTTATTCTAGAACTGGTTGGCTGTAAACATCAAACCATTTTTCTCAGGCTCAATCTTGCAGCCCCACACAGTATATCCAGAAACACTGGATGAGAAAAAGCAGTTGGAGCAACAAAACACCTTGATTTTAAGCATTTCTACTGCTTCTTCTGGTCCCACTGATTTTGAGAAAACCTCAAACCAATCTCTCAAATGCTGTAAGATCTGGATATAAATAAGAGCTCCAGGTGATGGAACCATTTGGGGGTTTCAACCTTTGGTCTTGGTCTAAAGAAAACTGAAATAAACCTGTTGGGGGAATTTTACCACCAAAAGCAACTTCCCCCCAACTGATGCCATAGCTGCTCAGCATCACTGAGGAGCTGTCAGCTGCTCGGTGCCTGCAGGACCCCCCATTTCCTTCTGTGCGGGTTTTCCTTATGGTGCCAAAGGAGGCAGACCCAAGACTTTCAGGATTTAAACCTTGTTTCTGTTTCCCATCATTTTTAGAGCCAAGCATCCTGTATCTTTTCTCTCCCCTGAGATCCTGGGGTCCACTCAAAGCAACAGACCCTGGAACTCCACCTTTAAATGGCCCCAGGACCCAAACCCAATTTCAGAGACACACAAATGACAGTAAGAGCAGTCCATCCATTCACCAACCCATCAGACCTGTGTGGATTGCTGGACCAGCTTTGGCTGACAGCTTCAGAAAAACATGGAGCTGACACTTGTGCAGCTCTTCCAACCATTGTCAGTCCTTAGCTTCCAAGTTCCTTTAAGAAAGGGTGACCAGCACAGCAGGTATTTCTGTAGTGCTTTCACAGTGCCTCCATCTACTTGCTCCAATGTACTCCGAACAGCCACAGAAGAACCATCTTCTGAGCACCAGCAGCCAGCCAAGACCAGGATGGGATACAGGAGAGAAGTGATCTCCCTTCCTCTTCACATGAGCTTTACCTGCTCGTGATTCCATTTTTTGCCTTCTAACAGGATTCCTGTCAGCTGCCTCCAGAAGATGTGCCTGCTTATCTCCTTGTTTTTCCACTCCAGGTAGGTGTTCCTCCTCAGGTATCGGGACAGCCCCAGCCTCTGCCTTAGCAAAGCCTTATTCACTTCTTCTAGTACAATCATGATGATTCCAGACTTTCCTTCAACCAGTTGCCAGGACTGGGCAATGTCAAACTCAAAGCTACACCACTTACTTTCCAGGAAGTCAGTAGAGATGACTGCAATGACATTTCTGCTACTCAGGAAACCTTCTTGGATGATATTGGTGACAAGGGGTACCCCCGGTAGGAAATCCCTGTAGTAAAGGCAAAAATGGAAGGGAGGTGTTCCTCCTTCTAAGGGTTCCACCAGCTCTTTGATCACCCATTCTTGGTCTTTGCTGGAGTGGATAACAAAGGCATCATAGGTGTCACCTCTTTCTGCAGAGTGTTTACACCCACTGAGTAGCAGCAATGAGTAGTAGAGCTGGAAGTAGTACTTGTAAATCAGGAAAAGGAACACTATTGCAGCAAGCAACATGATCACTGAGGATGCCACTGTGCTCACACGGAGCTGGCAGGAGGACAGATCAAAGCTTGACAGGGTCATGTTCTTCACATATACAGGTGTGTGGCATATCATGGACTCCTTGTTCTGCAGCAGCTCCTGCTTTTCCTTGATCCATTTCAGGAAGTTCTGGTACACACAAGAGCACTCAAAGAGGTTTTGAGAGATGTCCAACAGGACTAGACTATTAGGCAGGATTTCCAGGGCTGAGTCCAAGAGAACACTCAGCTGGTTGTTGCTGAAATCCAGGGCTGTGAGGGCTTGGAGGGGCTTGTAGACAACAGGATCAAAGATCAGTAGCTTATTATTGCTGATGTTTAGCTCTTTTAGTTCAGAGAGGGCATCAAATGTACTTTGGTCTACGTGTACTAATTGGCAACCTGAAATATCCAAGGTGTGGAGGTGGCTCAGGTTTTTGAAGTTGTTGGCTAGTTTGTTGTTCTCAAAGGAGTTGCCTGACATCTTCAGCACTCGCAAGGAGTTCAGGCCACAAAAGGTACACTGGGATTTAACGTGGGTTCTGGTGTGGGAAATATCAAGGTAAATGAGTTTTTGAAGAGATAGAAAGACAGGGTAGGAGCCAGGACCAAGTAACTTTGTGTGCTGAAAGTCCAAGTACAACAAGTTCTTCAGGTTAGTGAAATCCCCAGTCACACTGATGTCAGCATTGAAGCTGAGGTTCAAGTGTTTCAAGTTGGGACAGTTGCGGAACCTAGGGGAACAGCAGAGAGTGAAGGAGAGGCGATTCTCACTCAAATCTAGCACCTCCAGGTTAGTCAGGTCCTCAAATGTCTCCCGGAAGCTATTGAGGTGTTTGTTCTTGATAATACGAAGTACTCTCAGCTGCTTGAAAAGAGACAACTTCATGGCAGGCACTTCCTTAAACCTGCATTTCTTGCATTCCAGCTGCTTCACTTGTGAGTACATAGGAACCTCTGATATCTCCTCAAGAAGGAGGTTCACCAAGTGGATGCTGGAGACGTTGCCTATGCAGTTAAAAAGAGTGTCTGTGTTATCCTCAAAATCCCTGAAAGAGATTAAGACAAACTTTTGCATTTGTACCTGGCACAGTCCACTCAGGAGTCCGCTCTGAAAGTCCACCAGCCTCTGGTTGTCACTGAATTCTCCAACTATCAGTCTGCCAACCTGTAAACCAGTCAGGCCTCGAAGAGAAGACTGCATTGCACTGAAGTTCTCAAAAGCAGACCTTAGAACCAGCTCACCAAGGTGAATCTTTGTAAAGGACCCTGGCTCTATGCATTTTATGTAGTTCAAGGAAAGTACCAATGTGAGGTTGAGTCTGTTCACTTCCTTCAAGGCATCAAGGTCTCCTCTGGAGATATATGTGATCTTGTTAGAGAAAAAGCTCAGGTGCCTGAGAAAGGTCAAGTTGGCGAAATACTTGGGAAGCTTCAATGAAGCAATGTTGTTGTGGCCCAAATTCAGCTCCTGCAGGGTATGCAAGTGTCCAATGGGCAGGTCAGTCAGGGAGGTGATGTTGTTTTCCACCAGCACTAGCTTTTTCAGAGATGTTAAGCCATAGAAGGCTGCTGGCCCCAGGTCCTGGAGGGGATTGGCAGTTAGAATTAATGTGGAAAGTTTATGAAGACCCTTAAAGGAGTTATCTTCTATTGTCTGGAGGTGGCACCTGTGTG